GCTTGTGCGTATCAATTTCATTTGGTTATTCTCGAAATTCTTTTATGGCCCGGCCCATTCAATGGTTATGTGGGTCTCCAATGGGCTTCACTTTCGATCGCCCATCGTTCCTGCCCTCCCTCCCCCCCCCCCCCATCCACACCCACCGGGCAGGTGTCAAGTGCTTTTGTTGTTGGCCAGAGCGGAGTAACGCCTCGTTAGGCTGCTAAGCGTTGCCCATCAGCGGCAGGTGAATTATTGGCTGGCAGCACCTGGGGATGATCCGTAGAAGACCTAAAGAAGACCCAAAGAAGCCCCGAGCGAAAGACCAAAGACCGGAGTTAAAGAACCCGGCGCGAATAGGGCTAACTGTTTGCTCAGTTGACTGCCTGCCCGGCCAATTAACGCATTCCAAGTTGGGAGGCAGAGGAATATGCAAATACATCTCTCTGGCCGGGCTACTTATGATTATGGCTTTGCCGAAAAGTTTCTACAAAAATATTCGATTCTGGGGCTTGCTAAAACTGCTTATGATTCAGCGGGTCAATAGACGCCCAAATCGAGAACACCGCGAGAAATTCATATATATTCGCATTTCAGTGGAAGTTTGTGAAATATGTCATAAAAAAATACTGTTTTGTAATGAAAATCCCAAAAAAAAGGTATTTCTAGACATATTTTAAGCATAACTTTTCTTACAGTAATTCTCTAAAAAACTGTGTTCACATCTTGGTTTGTATTTTTGGGTGAATTTTTCATCATAATTTTTCATTTTATTTCATAATCTGACTTCAAAATGGCAACTTTTAAATATTTATCTAAAAAACGGTGTTTCCACTTTGATTTTTATTTTTCGTTCGATTTTTCGTTATTTCAATGATGTAACCCCTTTTCAAAATTTCGAAAAAATAGCTTTTCAGTGTGTCCAAAAACTGCATTTGCTTATTAAAATTTTTCTCTCTGCGGTCTTGAGACAAAAACAAAATCGAAAACAACGCCACGGCAATTTCTGTGCCAATAATTTATTTTAGGAATTGGAATTGGAATCGGAATCGCCGGCGAACTAAACGAGGTCGGGAGAAAGTTACTGCACAACAGCCAGAATCGCGGCGAAAAAAGCACTTGTCGCAGGTTGGTAAATTGACTGGAGTTATGATTAGCTGTTGCTGTTGTTGCTGCTGCTGCTGCGAGGATTGCAGGTTGTCAGCGAATCGAGACGTGTGACGATTGGCCTGAAAGTGCAGCCAGTGCAGCCAAAATCGGGGCTTGGATTCGGCGGCAGCCGCACATTTCCGCATCGCAACGCAGGCAGCCACGCCAGCAACCTGCAACCTGACAGCAGCAACCTGCAACATGCCGCGAGCAACTAGCAACTTGCAGCAGCAGCAGCAGCAGTACCAGCAGCAGCAGCAGAAACGTGAAAGCTGCCACAAGGTCAGCCAGCTGACAATCGGGATGTGTCAATTGTCCAAAAAAAAAAAATAAGAAACATGACTGGGAACGGGAAAACCAAACAACAATGACAGCAGCCAACAGCTACTGCAACTGCAACGCTTATCGTTCAAAAAATCAATAAAAGCGAAAAAAGAAACGAAGTTGGTTTGCCCTTTCAGGCAAATATTTGGGGGAAAGTTAGCCGGGGGCCTGGGAAAAGTAAATTTGCCCGAAAACCATAAGGATATATTAAAAAGGTTGCATACTAAATAATATAGCAAATTGTTGTTACACTTTAAAAACAATATTGCAAGTAATCCCCCAGCTTTTCATCAGCTAAAAGCAAAGGAAAGACAATCGAGTCAGAAAATCTGTGAAAATGAAAATGAAAATTGTGCAAGAGCTGGTGCGAAATGCAGTTAATAAAATACAGGCTGGCCAAAACTGTCAGCGTTGATGACCCACTCATTAAATGAGAGGATGGGGAAAAACAGACGAAGAAAAACACCGTGACAAATGCGTGAGAAAATATAGTCAAGTTGGCACCAAAATGGAAAACACAAATTTTGCCATGACACCCTATGACTTATGACACCGAAAACATTGCCAACTATATACAGATGGCGAAACATAGATAGTACTTTTGATTGTAGTCGTTTTTCGTTTTTCTATGGCATCCCTATATGAATAGAGTTTTAAGGTGTATAGGTAATTTTAAATCAATATTAACTAAGAATTTTAACAGCGATAGCAGTATGAAAAGCTTAGGAAATTATATGAAAGCCAGAAACAGGAGAAAGTGTTGGAAAATCGAGAGCGGTCTTTGATGTTGACCCGCCGCGGAGATTGGGTTAGATTCGAAGGTAATTCGAAGGTAAGTTCTGCTGACAACCCAGCCAAATGAGACACAGAAATCTAGTGTAGCCTGAAATTGGCTCATTTATGCCGCTCTCGACTGATTGTTATCATCGGCCGCGTTTGATGGCATTAAAATACTACAAAAACTACGTAGTTTGCCCCACAACTCTCATCACTTTGATTGCACGCCTCCATTTTGACTCGACTCTGTGCCAAATGTGCAGCCCAGAAAGTCTTTCATTCTCGCTGGCAGTTTTGTGCTATCATCACACATGCATCTCAAAAAAAAAATACGAAAAATACAGAAAATAAGATGTGCCAGCCACAAAGCCCTCACATTTGCCATATACCATTAACCATTTACCCGCCATTCCCCCGATGGCTTTCTTGATGGTTTTATTTGCCGCGTGCTTTCCTCAGCATTTAGTAGCCAAGTAAGCAAGTATCTGCATGTGCCCAGGTACGACTATCTTAGTATCTGCCATTGACAAGTGTCACTCTTGCGGTTGCCAGCTGAAATCCGCTGAAATTACTTAATAAAAGTGAAATTATACTTGCGGGCATCTCTCTTTCTCTCGCCTCGCCGCAAACAAGTTTATGAGTCGAAGTCGAAGTCGAAGCCGAAGTCGTAGTCTTTTCTAAGCAGAAAACGAGAGTGAAATTCGTTGTTAAACTAAAGTCCGCTGAGCGGAAGTGGTGGGGGCTGTAGATTTCGAGAAATTAGATTAGTCAGTTGCCATTCTGCTACAATTACGTTTCGAGTTTGTGGCCTAAGTCTTTTGTTTTCGCTTGCACGGAAAATTCCAAAATGACAACAGTCTGAGGTGGCAGCTGAGGAAAGCAGCCAAAGGAATTATTATTTTTTATATTAAATGTTGTTTGTTTATTTTAATTTAATCAAGAATTTTGAAATAAATTAAAAATTTTATTTATTTATTAAGTTAATGGAGACAAAATGTTTATCATAATAAAATAAGTTATAGATATAAGTTAATATAAAACTTATTATATTTTAAATATTAAAGATAAACTCTTTTTTTAAATTCTTTCCTAACTTAATTTTTTTCAATTTTTTTTACCATTTTAAAAACACTTCTTGAAAATGATTGGAGCTCTTACATTTTACCTACTGCCACAGAATAAAAAGAAATTAAAATAAGACGCCTAATATTAAAATAAACAACAAATAAAAATGATTCATTCAGTTTTCTTTTATTTAGTCTGCCTTCAACCTTTTCAGGTTTTCATGTTAACGTTTATTTTTTAAATTACGCACAAGTATTTTTGGTGGAATGCTTGCCTTTCAGGGCGCGTTTAAAGAGGTCAGGCGCCGGGGGAATTTCTCGAGGAGGATTCGGGGTAACTTTCACTCGGCGCAAACGCTCAACCTGCCAGCAACGAGCGACGCGTCATGGAAATGGAAATTTATTAGCAAATTATGATTTCTGTGCACAGGCTGACCGACGGACGGACTCGATGATAAAGGCGGCCGGCCCAACTTGGCTCGAACAACTGGCCAAAAAACAAAAAAAACAACAAAAATCGGCAACAACAACGGCTACAGAAATTGCGGCAAATGAACTCTGAGCGATTCAGGGCAGGCCAAAAGGAACGTGACTGAAAAAACTGAGGGGCCTTCGCCAGAATCGAGGAGCGGATGAAAGAAAGTTGGCTGCTTTTGACTCATGGCGGTATGTCCCATCTCCTTCGTTACCCCCACACCCCTGACCCTTCGAAATAATGAAAACGAAAACATCGGGTCTGTTACAACAACAACAGCAAGACTACAAAAACAACCACAACAACAACAACAACTGTGCAAATACAAACACAAAACACAGATCACAACAATTTTCTCGAATTTCTCGACAGGTATTTTTTTTTTTCGGGCTTTCGCGGCAAGGCAAAATATTTGCTTAACAATTTCTACTGTAACAAATAAATAAACTTGCTGCCCCGACAATAATGCCCATTAATTGTTGCCAGATGACGATGATGAAACGCGACACACAGTTGGGGCATTGTCTCCCGTCCGATGTTGCAATCGTTGTCACCCACGTAAATGGAGTCATAAAGATGCCGCAGGTCCGTCGAGGATGACTCAAAAGAAAGTGAAATCTTTTATTTTCGGGGGGTTAGGGTAAAGAAATCCAACGAAATTGACCGACCAAACGAACGAACGAACGAGCGATGACAAGAAGCGAAAGTGAAATGCTTTCGCGGCCATTGATGATTCAATCTGCCACGCCCCTTAGTTAACACCATCCAGCCGCCCCGAAAAACTTGCATCCGAAAAAATGCGAAAGTTTTGGTTATCAATCCGCGCCCGAAACAAAAACAAAGCCCCAAATATTTCTCATACATAAAACGATCATAAACTCTGGGCGGTTGGGATATTTTACAATTCAGATGAGGGCCGGCCGATAAGCATCTGGATTGCATAAGTCCGATCTCAAAAATAAACAAGATGCGATTGTCAGTTGAGATTGGTGGCTTAATGGAAGGAGAAAAAGCAAAGGACTTAAAACTAGGGAACATTTATTCTTTGCTCTTTCTTGTAGTTTTATTAACATAATTGAGAGTTAAATAATGAGTCCTTTATTTGTAACTGATCAATTGAAGTATTTTATACTGTAATCGAACATCTACGAAATATTTGATCAAAATGCCTTGCTTTAGTTATCAACCTTTGAATATTTATTTTCATTAACAATTCAGACTTCACACAAGTCACTTCATAATTTTCCGTACATTTTAAAATTTTTTTGCCAAATTTTATCATTGGTTTTGAGTGCAATTGACTAAGAATAAGAATCTTATCATTATCTTCCAGTGATGGATCGGCTCTTTTATTGAAATCCTCCTATGGCTTGAAGATTACGCTTTATTGTAAGTATGTATTCCCTTTTCTTTCTAATTATACATTTTATAACGAATTCAACGAGGAATGACCACTATTTTACAGGGTTTTGGTTAAAAAACCAAAAAATGTAGCTTTTTTTTCTAGATTTTGGCCATCAAAAACATATATTTAAAACGCATTTTTAAGGGTTTTTTTGTTGTAGTTCTGCCAAAATAAGACGCACAGCAAAAATAATGACTGTTCTGTGTAGCTGACAGCCTACACAATCGATTCCAGGAGGTTTTAGTAAATTTCATTTTTTGACCGATTTTCGCATTTTTGATAAGGGGTAACACTTGATTTTTTCCAAATATGGCCCAAAATAAATATTTTTAGCTGAGTATACCATTCGATTGGAAATTTTGTAACGAATTTAACGAGGCATGACATTCCAAGATCTGACCATTATTTCCAAGAGTATTGATTTAAAAACAGAAAAAACGAGCTGTTTTTTTTCTGGATTTTGGCCATCAAAAACATATATTTAAAACAAATTTTTAAGGGTTTTTTCGTTGTAGCTTTGCCAAAATAAGACGCAGAGCCAAAAGAATGTCTGTTTTGTGCAGCTGACAACCTCCACAATCGATTCCAGTAGGTTTTAGTAAATTTCATTTTTTGACCGATTTTCGCATTTCTGGTAAGGGGTAACACTTGATTTTTTTCCAAAATATAATTTTTGAGCTGAGTATACCAATCGATTGGAAATTTTGTAACGAATTCAACGAGGTATGACACTCCAAGATCTGACTATGATTTCCAAGGGTTTTGATTAAAAAACTGAAAAAACGAGCTGTTTTTTTTCTGGATTTTGGCCATCAGAAACATATATTAAAAACACATTTTTAAAGGGTTTTTTGCTGTAACTTTGCCAAAATAAGACGCACAGTCAAAAGAATGACTGTTCTGTGTAGCTGACAACCTACACAATCGATTCCAGGCGGTTTTAGTAAATTTCATTTTTTGACCGATTTTTGCAATCGATTGGAAATTTTGTGACGAATTCAACGAGGTATGACATTCCAAGATCTGACCATTATTTCCAAGAGTTTTGATTAAAAAACTGAAAAATATAGCTTTTTTTTCAGGATTTCGACCAAAATATATTTCATCATAATTTGTTTTCTAAATATACAAATTTTTTAGCTGAGAAATAATAAATGAAAATGTTTTTAAACGTATATACTCCGAGATATAGTTATCAACAATTTTTAGCATCATGGTTTTATATATATAGTTGTACGGAAAATCGAAAATGCTTAATTTTTTTTAAACAAATACGCATACAAATCGAAATATATTCATTTTATAAAATATATATTATATTTTTTGGACTGGCTTTCTTGTTTTTGTTAATGTTTTTTGAAACTGTAATCGAACGTCTAGCTAATAATGTCATCCCGTTTTGAAATTTACATGATCAAAAGGCCTTGCTTTAGTAGTCAATCTGTTTATATTTATTTTCATTTACAATTCTGTCCTCACACAAGTTACTTCACTTCAATTTTCCGTAAAATAATTTAAAAACTTCCTAGATTTTATCATTGGTATTGAGTGCATTTGTCTGCGACTAAGAATTTGTAACATACTAACATGAAATCATTTCATTTTCTTTCAGTGATGGAACGGCTATTTTGTTGAAATCCTCCTGGCATGAGTTAAAGATTGTGCTTTATTGTAAGTATGCATTCTCTTCTCTTTAAGAGTTATATTTGTGACAAAAATTGCCTCCTCGTCCAGTTGCTGATCATCAGAAAGTGGGGCATTGGGAAGCACTACCATCTGGACCAATCCTCATCCTCCGCGATGCAGATTCTTTATCATCATGGTTGGCCCTCCTTCTACATCCTGATGAACTACTGTTTTTACTTGCGGATGTAGAGCTGGTATTGGTCTTGTGCGATGCGATGGATATTGTCGAGTTCTGCGAATCGGACTTTAGAAGGAACTTCGGAAGTCTTATAAAATCCAAAGACCTGTTTGGAAACTCTGTTGCCCAATTCCCCCCAGTGCAATTGTAAAACTGCAGAAACGCGACGAACGTCTTTCCATTTAGTAGCGAAAACGCCGGTCCTTGAATTTTCAAATCTGAATCTTGAGCCTTCTTGACCTGCAACAAATTTGTGATAGAGAACCCTCATTAATATGAGTTCTTTCGAAGCCATGGATCCCGATGCGACCAAGAAATAGCCCCACCAAAACCTCTTCACCGAAAAAATAATCGGGGATTATTTTTTTGAGTATCTTCAGTTTTAAATCGAAACTTTTGTCGGAATGAAGTACTTACCTCGACTACAAACAAACATTGTTTAGTGTAAATGACAATACTCAATACAACAGTAGTAGTGTAGAATAAAAACTCTTTTTAATAATAATTATAATTAAGTGATGCGTTTTCGTTTTTAGAGGGCCTTTGGCTTAGTTATATTCTAAGCCCCTTAACTGGCAACTTAATGTCTTATCCCTTGGACTCTTGGACATTGGCTTCGTCGTTTCGAGTAGGCCAATTCGAATGATGTGGCTGGATGGCGACTGAAATCCGCTGCAGGAGCTTAAGCTGCAGTTACCGGTCCGGTTTCAATTGGCATCGCGAATCGCAATTGACGGGCAAATTTAGCAGCGGATTCGGTTCGGCATGCGGGGCACGTTGGCCGCCTGGAAAAATGGAAAATGTGAGCTGATCGTGGAAAAGCTGCGCATATAAATCGACGCCGGTTGTCAACATGTCGTCGCAGTTGCAGTCGCAATCGCAGTTGCAGTTGCAGTCATGGCCATGGGCGGCCAATTGGCAATTGCCAACAGCGGGACTGCATTTCCACAGGCCCGATCGTCGATCGTCGAACGTCGAATTGCGAATTGCGAGTGGCGTCAAGTGCGCACCGCTCAAATTAAAATGAGCCGTTAAGATGCGACGGCGAACGGGCCAAGTCGAACCGATAAAATCGTCAGTGGCCGTTGCATTTGGCGGTCGAGTCATTGATTGATGCAGCATTAGCCCCAAAATGAAAACATATTGTAGCCTCTGGAAATACTCTAGTATAAGCCAGTCAAAAAACCATGCTCACAGCGAAAATAATCTCAAAATATAATATACTTTTCTTTTATTATTTCTTTTTTTTTATGAATTTAACTTTGATTTGCTAAAAAATGTCATTAGAGTTTTTAAACTCTGTTTTAAAATACACAATGCCTATTAAAAATGTGGCTAATTTCACTGGGCATTTATTTCATAAACTTAAAATTTAAGAAATTATTTATATATTTTTAAAATATAGAGGAAACTCTGTTGGTTTTTAGGCAGTTTTTTATATCCTTATAAATGCTCTTTAATAAAAATATTGTCAAATTGGCTGGAAAGGTTTTTGTTGGACCATGATATAGATCGGTAATATTTTGTATTAGATTAATATGCTTTTGCTTTTTAGCTTTTCAACATTTTAACATATCGAGTATTTTAAAATAAGTAAGACTGGTCAATTTAATGCCATCAGCAGTCTACCCGCTCGATTAGGGTATAATATAGAGGCCAAAGGCCAGGAGCCGTGTGCAGTCTCCATCGCAATCGCACTTAAACTTCAACTTCAACTTCGACATCGACTCCGGCGGGCAATTGAAACGCTTTGGATTTGTGTGTTAATGGGGCTCGATCCGAGGGGGGGGTGATGCGGGGGAAGGGGGGCTTAGGGGCTGCGTGCTCATTACGCTCGATAAATGCGGCCGGCCTCGGAGTGATTCGAATTTCGAACGTGTAACGGCTGGCGGAGAAGAAAGCGTTCCGCCAAAAAAGGGGCACAAAAAGCGTAAGACAAACAAACTGCCAAATGAATCTCTTTGAGGTCAGCAATTGAATGTGCTCAATGGGCAGGCACCCAAAGGGGAATTCAATTAAGTTTTCTATCACCCGTCGGGGCACAGGTGGTCCGAGTGTGGGTGTAGATATGGGTGTGTGTGTGGTTGTGCCACAGGTAAATGCGCATTGTTAATTTGTCAAAATGCAAATTCTCTTGCCAAATTGCTGGGGCAATGTCACCCACGGGCAATATCAGATACAGATACAGATATCTACACTGGGATAATAATTTTATGCGTAATATTAATAATATTTATACAGCAAAACAGGGTTATAATATATGTTACTACCTATTTAAAAATTTGACAAAAATCGAAATGTAGATCTGAGAGGTCGAAAGCGCAAAAGGTCAAAAGCACAAAATCCTGAAGCTTAAAAGCGAAATATTAATAAAGCGCAAAAGGTAAAAAGCCTAAAAGCCCAGTAGTACAATATTATTTTTTTCTAAAGATTATTTTATTAGAATTTGTATTATTATTTTATTATTTTTTCAGTGCACAGAAAAGAGAGTAATTCAGGCGAAGGAAATCGACATCTGTCAGAGTCCAAGTCTAACCGAAATTCGAAATCAAACGGTGCCTGGCTTTGGACTTGCGACGTCCAGCGTTTATCCACCCATCAAACGGAGACGAAGTCCAACTCGGATCCGAAGACCAAGGCATTTGGGAGTGTCGCCCGCGGGGACTCGCCTCGAATTCCGCAGCGTACACACGAAAGACAAAAGAAGTGTGCATGCCAATCCAGAAGAAAGATCCCAGAGACAGCTGGCCGAAAACCAAAAGGTTTACGTAATCCACTGGCGAATTATTAGTGGGAATTATCATGCGTGTTGCATGATCAAATGGCTGTATGCAAAACATTTTGGCACCCAGAACAAGTGAGGAATTCAATGCGAAGGAATGCTTTGGGCACCCGACCAAGAAATGCAGAAATGTTTTTCTTCGGAGTGTAACTCCATTTAAATGCATTAAATATAATAATAAAGCATTTATTTTCAAGAAATGCATATAACGACAATTGAGTTGTTTATGATATTCTTAAAACGAATACGTTTAAGTATGTTGATTTACAAATATAATATTTGGTTTCATTAAGGTAATATGAGAGTTATTAGAGTACCAACAAGGCATTTGTGATATTTTAAACTATTGAACCCTTTGAATATGGTCCAAATCGGATAACTAAGTCTTATGCTCTTATGTCTGACCCAATGCACTTATCAATTTTCTATATAAGTGCTTTGGGATATCAACATTAGTTTGGCAATTTCAAATTCTTTTCGCCTTTTTTTCCATTAAATTTATAATTATACGTTTACACATATGAATTCCATTAGGACGGTCCCAGTTCGTATGCAAATTTAAAAAAAAAACACCTCACGCGCTTGCTGCATTTTTGACAAATTAGAAATATTGTTAAAAATGCGTTATGGGCACTGCTCTTTGGATTTCAAGTTTATTACTCATACGCAGAGTTGCCTTTGATTACAAAACATAACATCTTTAAATATATAAAATCATAATTAAATCTATTAAAATATATTTTTTATTTAAATATATTTCTATTTTAATGTTTGAAAATATTTCAGATAATCTTTTAAGAAAGCTCAAATTTATTCATCAGCTGGTGGCTCAGTGTTTAGTCGAGACACAAACCGCAAAACAGCTGGATGCAAAACTCTCCAAACTCTCCGCCCGTTTTTCGCCGCGTTAACCAGCACTTTTGGTTTCCGAACTTCGTACCGCTCGGCAAAAGTCGGCTGGAATTCATCCGAACTGCCGGGTCGTCGAGTGTCCTTTAAGGCAAAGGATGCTTCGAAATTTGCGCAGTTTGCGTGCGGTTTTAGGAGCAATAGGATGCAGCAGCAGCAGCAGCAGTAGAATCAGCGGTCGCCAAATAATCAACTTCAGCGGGTTAATTTCTAGAAAGGAGTAGTGAGTCTATAATCTCGCCTCTCCGTTCAAAACCTCTTCCCCCTTCCACCCCGCAATATACAAACCCCCACCCCAAAAAACCCTATATGAGGTCTTAGTAAATCATCACGAAATTTGGCGCGATTCCTGCGCGTTTTTAATGCGGTTACCGCCGTAATCACAATTACGAACTCAGTTGCGGTTTATCTCGGTGTACTCTTGTTTCTAGATTTTTTTTTAATAATTTTTTGCAGTGCCCACAGTGATTGAACAATTTTAAAAACCATATAAACTCAAAACAAGTGAATGGAAAATCAAAATAATAACATTTTTGAGTGACTATCAATATAAAATAAGAGTGTGGAAAGTTCGGTGCTTTTTTTGGGCTCTGCAAGGACCCTTGGATTACCTTGCGGGGCGAGCGGAAACGGAAGACATATCTTCGCTTTCGGTGAGTCTAAAACGTATATAAACAAACACGGTCGGCGTTAAAATATAAACCTCCTAGGCTTCTATTCTATTGTTTATTTAAATAGCAGAGTGTTGTTGTAGGCATTATTTTGTCTTTGATGTATAAAGTGCTTAATTCATATTTTATGAGGACTAAAAGTAGTTTTCCATGTTTATAAAGTGGTTCTGTAGTTTTTAAATGGTTCAATGTAAACCATAAAAGCTTTTTTTTATTAATTTGTGAATGGGTTTTCCATTATCCCAAAGTGCCTTTCTCCTTTGTGCTTTTATTGGTTTTTAAATATTTAATTATCTTTTGAGACTCTGAAATACATTCTCTATATTATGTAAAAAGTGAAGCAAAAAGCATTTATTTTTTGTTATTTAAATACCCTTTTTTTAACCGTAACCCTTATTAATGTTTTTTTTACAAACATTTTGTATTTTAAGGCTTTATTTCATTTATTTTATATTTATTTATTTAAGTTATAGTTTCTCATATTTTAATATATTGTTAAGTTTATATATATCTTTAAAACGCCATGCGTGTTATGTTCTTTGCTTAATTATTAGGGCTTAAGTTTTCTGCCGCAAATTCAAGAGAACATGGCTCTACCAGTATATGTGGATTTGTGTATTTATAGATTTGCCTTCCATATCATTACGGCTGCCATTATCAACGCCTTTATTACGCTTCCGCTTTTGTGTGGCGCCTCTTTTGCGTCCATTTGTTTTTCTGCCGCCGCAAACTTTTCCCTTTGCCCCTTTGCCCCTTTGATGTGCCACAATAGTTGGCAAATGAAGGGTCAAAGGGCGGTGCGGTGGTGCGATGATAAGCAACTTGTTACGATGACCATGATGATGAGCGAATTGAAAGCTTTTGTGCCCCACCCGCCACTGCGGTTTTGACCCATTTCTACTCCCATTTCTACTCCCAATTTTCCCTTTATTCCTCGAGCCAACCTTTTTTCGCAGCTTGGGATCAGGGTCAGGGCTGTGAAATGGAATCATTTTGTAGGCTTTATATTTAATTTGCATGGTCTGGTCGCCGCACCATCACCACCACTGGAAGGGTTCAAAGGAAATCCTTACCTTAAATTTTTCGCTGCATACTCTTGGCCAGTTGACTAAATTAAATAAAGGCCGCAGCAACAGTTTTTCGGGCTTATTTTTCAAAGACTCTGCACCGAAAAGTATGCCTTGAATTTGGGGAATATATCTGGGGAATTGGGAAAAAGAATGAATTAAGCTGGGCAAACCAAAAGATTGCCGCTTGATTGATGATGAAATACTCAAGTGGCCGCTAACGTTTTTAGTTGGAATTTTCTTGAGCGTAGTGGAATTTTGTTTGAAAATGAGGCTAAACCAGCATCGTTTTATATCGAGAAAAACGAATATGCTAGTTTAAAACCATTTAAAGGTTATTTAATGGCAATATAAACTAATTTTTTTTTTTAATTTAACTGAAATTATAACATTTTAACATTCAATTTTATGTTCAAAAACTGTTCAGATTGTTTTTTACAGAGTTGCCTAATTTTTGTTACAGATGAAAAATTATTGTTTAAAATACCCGAACCAATCACATACAAATCCACTGGGACTTTTGACTTTCAGCATATTATATTATGATTATTATTATAAAATAGTTGGTAGATAAACACATTTATGCCTTCGACTAGGGAACAATTTAAGGCCGTTTGACTTATTCCTCCTCAGATTTATTTTTATTCTTTCCTTTCTTTTCTTTTATTTTCTTTTCTTTTTTTTTTCTTTTCTTTTCTTTCCTTTACATTCTTTTTATTTTTCCACATCCTCCTGATTATTTCAGACACTGCATCTTGGCAACACTTTTCACATTTTCCTTTAACAGCTTGCCTCTCGTTTGCCGTATTGCTGTTGCTTCATTAGTTTCATTGGATTTGCCATTGTGCAATGCAATGCAGCGGCAACAACAATCAGTTAAATTGTTGCTCTTGCCGATTTCGTTATTTCAAATTTCATTTCCATTCAGGAAGCATTGGAGCGACGGAAGAGGAAACCGGGTGAACAGATCGAAGGAGGCTGCAACACGAAGATATCGCAGCTGCAGCAGCCACAACTGTGGCATTAGCAAGTGCAGCAGCAACATAGGAACGTTGGAGACCGAGGAAAAGAAAGGTCGTCCTTCACTCGCTCCCCATTTTTTCGGGCAGTGTATATTTTTAAGCCAACAAAGACCACCAAGCCGCCGGCAGTGAGTTGCGGTAAAGGCGGCGCTGCAGCCGCAGAAAATGGCCGCAGCGACAACGGCAACATCCACAAGTGCAGCGGCGATAACAATAGCAGCAGCAGCAGCAGCAGCAGCAACACCAGCCACAGCAGCAACATGAATGCGACCTGCAACAGCTGCAGCAGCAACATTGCACGACAACGCCGATGATAATAATAAAGATGACGAAGCGGACGATGACGTTGATGACGACGTTGCCGAGTTGCATTTTCAAGAGCCACAACACAATGCCAAGTGCCAACAACAAGATGAGCGAAGGGGGAAACTAAGTGCCAAAGGCAACCGCAGCAACACACTCGCAGCAGTAGCAGCAACAGCAGAAGTAGCAGCAACAGCGGCAACAGCAGCAACACACAAGCAGCAGCAACAGTGAAAATATTTTTCGCTAGCCAAGCAGAATCAAAACTAAATTTACATAACAAAACAGGAGCAGCCAAAACAGAAGATTCAAGTGAATTTCTCGTTCTCAAAAAGCGTAATCAAAAGAAGGGGCAACATAGCCAGCTGCAAAATTCCCGACAGCAACATGTCGGCTCTAGTGGGCGGCAGGGGGCGTGGCCTCTGGATGGTACTCCTACTGGCCACCACACTGGGCGGTGGTGGCTGGGCGGCACCCACAGCCGGTGGTGCAGCGGTGGGGGGGCAAAAGCAGCAGCACCACCACCACCATTTGGAAATCGGGGTGCAGGGCAACACGCCGACACTGATGGACGCCAGCACCACCAGGGAAGGGAAGCATGCACCACTGGCTACCACTAAGGACCCACCAAGGCCCAGCACCACCACCACCACCACCGAAATGCCAAAAGCCACCGAAGAATTAAAGGCGGCTGAACAAGTGCCAATAGATAAAAAAGCTGAGAGTGGAGCATCTGAAAGTAGCACCACTGAAAGGGGAACCACTGAAAGTAGCACCACTGAAAGGGGAGCCACTGAAAGGAGTACCACTGAAAGTAGCACCACTGAAAAAAGTACCACTGAAAGTACCACTAGTGAAAGTAGTCTCTCGGAAAGAAGAACCCCTGAAAAAAGGACCACTGAAAGGAGAATTATTGCAAGTAGCACCACTGAAAGTAGCACCACTGAAAGTAGCACCAGTGAAAGAAGCACCATTGGAAGTAGCAGCACCGAAAGGATTACCACTGAAATTAGAACCACTGAAGAGAGCACCACTGAAACCGCAACCATTGAAATTGGGAGATCAGTAAATAAGACATCAGCACCACCAAGCAAAGAGGGTTCCAAAAAGGAGATCCAGGTGGTGCAGCTGCTGGACTTGGAGCACACGGTGGCCCCACCCTTGGACAGTGGCCACGATGGCCTCAAGCTGACCAAGAAGAAGCAGCTGCAGCAGCAGCACTTCCCATCCACCACCATGGCCACGCCCACCATTGAAACGGAGATGGAGAGGATACCCACAACCAGCAGCACCACCACCACCACTGCAACCAGCCAGGCACCACCGCCCCCGGCCACGCCCCTGCTGCCCGTGCACAATGGCTATCTGGGACCGATCTTCATGGGCGAGAAGACCTTCAGTGTGGTGCATCCGCTGAAGAAGCCGCAGCCGGCGAACCACCAGCACGTGGCCTCCATCGAGAGCCAGTTGCGCAATGGCCGCCTGGTGGAGATTCTGGCGCCCACCGCTCTGCTGGAGCAGATACCCGAGCTCCCCAGCACCACCCACGCACCACCGGCCGGAGCAGGAGCCGCCTCCTCGGTGCTGTCCACCACCGTGTTCCAGGTGCCCGAGCTGCAGACCAGCCTGCCCGTGAGCAACCATGTGGTTGGTGGTGCCGAGCTGGCTGCACCACCACAACAATCAGCACCGCGCACCGAGTCGAAGATCTCCGACATACAGATCGAGGTGTACGACTCCACGGTGGACTCCATAGTGGCATCGACGAATTTCCGGGACAGCGAGGGCTTCTATGCACCACCGCAGCAGGTTCCGCTGGAAATGGGCACCACCAAGCCGCCGCGTGGACTACTGCAGATGCCGATGCCACAGGAGCGGTTCACCCAGTATGTGATCGATCGGGCGGATGTGTCCACGCAGCCGGCATCGGGTGGTGCAGCTGTGGGCAAGCCCGAGCCGGCGGCCATCGAGATCCACATCAATGTGTCCGAGGCATTTGGCAGCGAGAGCGAGGATCTGGAGTTCTCCTACAGGCAGCCCTCGCTGGTGGCCGAGAAGCAGGGCAAGCCCGGCGACGAGGTCCTGGTGGTGGAGATCATCGACGGTGGTGCGGACAACAGCAGCGCGGAGTCGGGTGGTGCCAGTGCCTCCTCCTCCTCTTCATCCTCCTCCAGTGGCGAGCACATCAACCCCATATTCACCTTCCGCAACTCGGATGCGATCGCCGCACCACCGCCCCCCGTACGCCCACCGCAGTCCGTTCAGGATGCCGACGAGCTGTTCATGGCCGATCTGAAGGAGGGCGGTGGTGCAGTGGCACTGCCACGCCCACCGCCTCCGCCACCACCGCCGCCGCCGCGAAAGCCCAGCATCGATCGCGACTCGGACACGATCTTCTACATATCGAACACGGAGGTCAAGGTGGGTGAGTCGCTGCCCACGGTGGTGCCGGTGGGTGAGCAGCAGCGGAAGTTCCAGCTGGAGAACCAGTTCTTCCCCGCCAGCTATGTGATGGACACCCAGCAGCAGCAGCAGCAGTCGCAGTCGCAGCAGTCCCCGAAACAAATCTCCGAGGAGGACATCATCCTGTCGCCACTGTCGCACCACAATCCTGATGCACTGAAGATCTTTCGCAGCTCGTCGTCGTCATCATCGTCGAGCAGTGGCGATGGTGCACCACCGCTGGACGTGACCTATGTGGGTGAGTCCGTCATCGAGGTGGAGCAGCAGCCGCAGGGCTGGAGCAGCACGGCCGCACCACCGCAACAGCAGCAACAGTTGCAACAGCAGGACATCATCATCCAGCCGGCGGTGCTGCCGGATCTGGCCATTGGAGTGCCCGTGATCGGGGAACTGCCGCCGCAGATCGAGCTGAAGGAGATCGACTACATGCCCGGCGAACTGGGCCAGAACGGCATTGGGATCTACGAGAACGACATCCAGAGCAACAGCATCGATAGCGAACCGGATGTGATCGAGAGCTCCATTCAGTATGGCGGCGACCTGATCGACGATGGCGCCGGCGGCGGCTTCGATGGCGTGGAGGGCTCCTATCCCTTCGAGAGTCCCTCGCACCGCCAGGTGGGTCAGGGCCATGGCCTGAGCCTGAGCCACCTGCCGCACCACCAGTCCGCCAACCACTTGCACCGCGAACAGCTGCCCTCGGCGGAGATGCTCAATGCCACGCTCCTCCAGCGGTATGAAAGTGGATCCGGATCGGGATCGGGATCGGGTTCCGGGTCGGGATCTGCCTCGGCAATGGCTCCTTTGATGGCCAGTGGAAGTGGCAGGTCTGCAAATGCCACTGCCCTCGCCGAAGATCCTCTGGCCGACTACGATGGTGAGTTCGGGTCTCTTATTTGTATGAAATATATATTTATTAACCCCTGCCACATTTGTTGCTTTTTCGGTGTTGCAGGATTCTTCAATCTCTTCGCCGTTTCCATGGGTCTCATCATTGTCATTTTGCCCTCAGCTCTGCTGGTGTCCATGTACTGCGCTGTAAAGTAAGTAAATTAAAGCCCTATCAAAATCTAATACATATACACAAAGTTATTCTAAAGGAACAAAAAATTTCCAACTATAGAGGACTGTTTATTCAGAGTTGTGCATATTTTAATATCAACATAAAAATATCAGAATAGGAATTTTTAAAAGGGATTTTATTTTATTATTTATAAATCTATTTAATTCCAACAAGAATGACCTTTAAATAACATTTAAAGTCATCTAAGTTTAAAAAAAATATGAAAACTCTTAGTAAGGGGGTACTTATATTAATTTTATTAGTAAATATATAAATGGTTGGCAATTATATGTTTTTTTTTTGATCAAGCTTGAAGTTACTCTATAGGAGATAATCTCATTAGGAGTGGCTCTAAAGTGCATAGAAATTCCTTTTTTTTAAACTTCAAAAGTGCCGCCTGTCAACTTCAGTCCTCTGATAGTTATTGAACCTTCTTGAATTGAGGGAGAAATTGAGGACCACTTAACTCTAACATCCCTCCACACAATCCACCCCCCCTCCCTGTTAACTATCATTCTCGAGGCCAACTGTACCCAGACAGTGTGCTCTCTTATCCTGAGCTCCTTAGCCATTTGGCTGAGCTAATTGGTTACGCCTCGTGTGGCGCTTAATCAGCTTAGACGGCAATGTCCCACACAAATCAAAAATAATTGCAAGAAATTGCGAGGAAGCAGTGACAGCGGTAGAGAAGGGGGAGGGGGGAAGGATGAGCTGGGCTAAGGCCACCTTAAAATAGAAAGACAGCAGATGTGTGTGGGTGCGGGTTGAGTCCTGAGTGGCGGGCAACCCTAATCCGTTCCCGCCAGTTGGGTTTCCCCTTCTTAAACCTCTATTTTAAGGATTCTAAGGAGGGCGAATTTTGTTGCCTACTTTTGAGCGACGACCCACGCACGGCAGAAGAATGCACTCAATGTAAAGCAATTTGCCGGGGCAACCACCTGACCCCTGACCCCTGACCCCCTGGAATCCCGGATCCCAGCATTTCCCGCGGCGCTCGCTGCAGGCAAGGCGTGGCAAATCGCATTTATCAGCTTCATTCGTGGCATTTTATTTCTCATTCGCATTGCCAGCGACAGACAGCAACAAAACATTGACAAATCTGTGACGGAGTGGTGGTGGTGGGTGGCTTGTGGGTGGTGGGTGGCTGGGTGGGTGGCTGGGTGGGTGGCTGGGTGGCAATTTGAGAGCAATGCCAGGGACGCACATCCTTTATCGCCCGCATCCTGGCCCATACATAAATCTTGGGCACGCCACGAATTGGGTTGAAAGCTGTTGGCGAAGCTGCTGCTTCTCAAGTTGTGGGTTTTTTATATAAATACGAATATGCACACCGCGAGAAAAAGGTGTGGAATAGCTGCATAACTTGTTATTTTATTTTGGTTAATTTGCTCTATTGAATCACTACTTTCAGAGTGCTTTTCTTAAAGCCGCCACATTTGTAATCCTATCGGCTAAGTATACATTATATATAATGTATTATTAGTATTTTGTTGAGTACTTATAAAATTAATAACATTGTGCAAGGATTATTTGAACTTATCCTCAAGTTGCTTATATTTGTTTGCCTTTGTATAAACTGTAAAATATATTTTGTGGTTAGGGACTTTAAAGAACTGTTCTTTAATTGGGTTAATGGCAATTAGCTTATCAATAATGGCCTATTGCAGAAATGTGAAGACAATCGCTGACCAAATGAAACTATATGGTTTTTCCCCCTGTGTACATACATATATAAAGCTGGGGCACTAAATGCCAGGCCAAATAAAAGCGGAGAGTGACTGGGGAACTGGGTGACTGTGGGTGGTGTCACGTTGAGAGAAAACTGAAGGCGCAACAAATCAAGGCGGCGGAATCGAGAATCGGCAAGGCCGGAAACGGAAGTCGCCGCACACAAACACACACATCCTCATTCACACACACATCCTGATTCACATAGATCTACAGATGATGTAGATGCCAGGAGCTAACAAGGCAGCTGCTTTGGCAAGGTGATTTCTGCGCCCCTGCTTTTGCCTCATTTCCACGATTTTCCCGCTTTTCGGCTGAGGTTGCCGCAGGAAAAACGCATAAAGCGGCAAATGGCAACCGCAAACGTTGCCAGTTTGTTGCCCCAAAACCCCACACCCCCCCACTCGTTACCCCAAAAAAGGTGCCGTGAAAAGCCAACGTCGAAATAAAAAGGAAACACACAATTTATTTGCCTTATTCCCGTCTGCCGGGCAGGACATTGTGACTGTGTGTGCGTGAGTTGGTGTCTAGAAGGAAATTGCACAATAAACTCTTGAGACGAGAAATTAGTTGTGCGTGTGGCTCGTTTCGGCGGCTACCCAACTTGAAATTTGTTGAGTGCCAATCGCATTACGAGAGCTACAAAGGCCCTTTTCCCAGGGCCAACGACAATGGGATACTTTCGCCAGATACGCACTCACTCACTCACTCACTCACCCACGGAATTCTCCCATGGATGTGCTAATAATATTTATGGTGTTTTCGAAGCCAACTTGAGGAATTTCCGGGCAGCACACATTAGCAGATTATGTTCGACCTTAAAATGTAGTGTGTTGTATTTTTGGTAGAGATTGGTACTCAGAGGGTTTCAAATAAACTGAAATCCGACTAACAATAGTATAAATAAATTTTTATGGATAAACTTTTTTCTATTTATAGATAAGTATTGAAAGATTAGTATTAAATACCACTGCCAAAAAATGTGCTAAGCATTTGGATGTACTTTTTGTACATACTCTTTTATTAATTAGGGATTTGGAACATGATACAACTAAACCTTAAATCGCATTAACATTTATTTTTAAAGTTTAACAAAAGCAAAACAATTTTTTATAAAATCCTGTCTAAAATATATTTTAACTTAAAGAAAAAAGCAATAATAGAATAGCTAATGGATAAATTCGTAAAGGCTCTACGGACTTTTGAAAAACCATAACTTAAGCTTTAATCTGAGTGAGTTTGAAATGTAATGTATGGATTCTCGTAATCAGATTTTAAGGGTAGACGTGCCATTTAAGCCCTTGTGGCTTCTTATGGAGTCAGAGCATCGCCTTGGTAATTGCAGACGGCCGCAAAGTAGGCAACAAAATGTTAATTTCAGTCGCGGCATCATTAGAAATGCATTGGTTTTTGAAACTCTGGGCTGCGCGGCGCCGAAAAGCTGCGGCAAAGCGTCGACTGCTTAACAACTTTGGCGCCTTTGGCCCAAAGACATACCCCCTCCCCTCTCCCCCACTCACCATCTCGCTTTCACACTAACCCCGTCTCACTCCATCCCCCTTTGCAGGTATGTGCTCAGCAAAAACGCAGGAACGGGATCGGGTGGCGCCCAAGGCGACGACAGTGAACAGGGCCAGGACTCCAAGAACGAGGTGAGTTCGTAGCGAATATCTGAATATAAGCCAATGCCCGCCTCTTGAAAAACAGCCCACTTTTAACCCACCCACCCTTGAAACCTCCACCGCCCCCCTCGTTTGATGGAAATTTAAATTTAAGCGCAAGTGCCATCTGAGAGTGTCTTCAACTTTTCCCCACCGACCATGCCACCTCTTGGATGCACTTGTCCGCTGCACTTGCTCTCAAGAAAATTAAACAATAGCTGAAATTTCCGGTGCAAAATGAATTTGAGAGCTGAAAGGCCAAAATTAATGACGATTCTGCGGTTTCCAGTGAGGAAAAGGTCAATATAACAAAAGAACAGTGGCTTAACTAAAGTTTCGTCAGCCAAAACCACTGAATCATTTTAAAATATTTCAACTCATACATAGTAAGTTAATACAACAAAAGAACAGTGGCTAAACTAAAGGTTTGTCAGCCAATGAAAACAATGAAAACCAAAACCACTGACCATTTTATAATCTTCAAACAACCTAATAAAAAATTAATGTTGAATTAGCAAATCAGTAAATAAAATTAAGGGTTTATATATCATTTAGATGATCTTAGAATTTATCAAGCAAAAGTACTCCATTGTAAAACTTTCTTTATACAATTAACTTTTTGGCTTATTTTGTATAAAAATACTTTCGGCTTACCTTTGTTTTTTATGTTTATTAGTAAATCAGGCCTAAGACTAAGCTTAAGCTTATTAACATATTATAAAAAGCAGATCTTAATGAATGCTGAAATACAGGCTTGAATTGAATTAAAGAAAATATTAAAATCTTAGACAAGTATAGTAGAAATGGCATATCAGTAAGCTGTTGCCAAAGGTTAGGGTTCAAGTTTAAATGGAGCTCGAGTTGACTTGAAATGGAAATGAATTCCCTTGGCTGGTAATGAAATTTTCTTGCCCTTTGATGGTGTGCGAGCAAAGAGTGTGTGAAAGCGCCGGAGTGTGTGCGTGAATTGCATTCGCATTCCAGTTAAGTAAAGAGCCTGCTCTCTCTCTATTCGCCTCTTGCAGTCAGAATCGTCGTCATTCTCATCATCTGGCTCGGCATTTGCATCCGCCAGCGCCACCACCTCCACCTCCCCACTGCCACGCCCACGCCCACGTCCACGCCCAGACCACCACCCACCGCCCACAACCATGCCCCCAACTGAAGGCAGTCAAGGCCATTTTCTGTCGCCTGGTCTGGAGCGCCTCGAGTTTCGATTCGACGGCAAGTTGGTGAGCCATGTGGGTGGTGGTGGTGGCTCAATTGGTGGCTCTGGTGGCGGCGATGGCGATGGCGATGGCCGTGGCGGCTTTACTCCCTGTGGCTCCGTCACCAAGATAACGCTCAAAGATAATCATCTGATTGTTGTCACCGAGGAGCGCCACGTAAGTTCGTTAGTTATCCGATCAGCCCGTCTCCGTTTTGCCCCGGCGCCATCTCTTGTCGGGATGTCTAGTTGTGTCCTCCTCTTTCTCTCTTCTCTGCTCGACACTCCTGGATGTTGTCGTAGTTAGTTCGCTGTGCTTGGTGCCTGTCCATCCAATCATCTTGCCTTGGCTTACACACTCCCGAAATACGACTATCCGGAAAGCGACTATCTTCTAGTTCCGAATCGATTGCATCCAATAAGTCATTTTTTGATTATATATCTGTCTGTACAAGTAATTTTAAACTTGGAGGGCTTTTCTCCTTAGCAAAACTTACATTCTTGATGCATTCCTAACCAACACATATAACGCACCAACATATTTGGTTTTATTTGATCCAAGTAGTTTACGATGAACTTGGAGCATCCATCGTTGATTTATATTTCTTTCAAGTTATGTCCAAAATAAAAAGGCACTGATTGACTAAATTATGACTTAATTTAAGTTTTCAGGAATGTATTAAATCAATAATCTATTGGAAACACCTACTTTCTTTCTCGTAGTGTTTTATATCCTAATTATTCTTATTTTAATGCAAAGAGACTGTGCTAAATGATGATCTAGTTTTGGGAGGAAAAATTACAATTAATTTTTAAATTTAATCCACTTAAGCTGCCCATTGGGGAGTTATTAGGTTAACCTATGTTACATGCATTTTAGCTTCCTGAGTTCATTTGAAATATCTTGAGTTTCTGTTTGCACTACACTGTTTCTGTGTTTTTTAACCTTTCGTGTTTAAGTGAGTACTTTATTTGCCGCACTCTAACCCTCTGACACTTTGGGGAACAACTTTCCCACTTGTTCATTTGTCCTGGCCTTGAATGTCCTTGGGTGGTGGTCCTGGCACATCAATGGGCACCTGCGGGCCATGAGACAGCGAACAAGGGCCAGATTTGAGTCCGAACAACAGCCCGGTGTCGTCTATTTGTCAACTTAAGTGTGTGAGTGTGCGCCTGTGTGTACCTGCGTGTGCCAGTGTGTGTGTGATGGTGTATCCTTGGGGCGTATGTGTGCCACAAGCATATGCAAATGCAATTTTCGACACTTTCCGCATGGCAGCCATCCGATTTGTCCGCTCTGTCGCCCCACTCTGCCCCCTTTCGCCCTCTTTTCTCCCCATCCTTCACCACTTTCTCCACTCGCCACTCTCCATTTTGCCCATCCCGCCCCTCTCTCCCATTTCAATCTCGTATCCTTGATGTTGTAGCTGGATGTGTGTTTTTGTTGTGTGTGAGAAACCTGCACCCTCTAACTAATATGCCTTGCATATGGCCACATGCCATCGATTTCAATGAACCTTCTTCCTTTTCGCAGGACATTTCGCGCAATGCCCGGGAGACGAAAATGCACTCGGAAAAGGATGGCGTCTTTGTGGTGGAGGTGGCCCGTGGCATCGACTCTAAGCAGTTGGCCGGGGATCAATCCGGCGTGACCTTGGACGCCACCGAACTGCCCTTCGACAACAAATTGGCGCCCAACGGGGGGCACTTGCTCGACAAGAGTCTACCACCGTGCAGCCACGAGCAGGTGCAGATTCATGCGCCGCCCCAGGACTTCGTCGCCGGCCATCCTGCCCCCCTGCACCTCATCGAGGAGGCCGAGGAGCATGTAGCCGAGGATTTGGCCCAGCAGGCCGACGAAACCCACTCCGATCTGGCTCGCACTGGCCTCTCGCAATCGGACCTCAGTTCCACCTCGTCGAGTGACTCCAACAAGCGGTACTCCTACGGCAACCAGGAGCTCTATGTCATCGATCAGCCCGGCTATGTCACCAGTTCGCCCACAGCCAAGCCCATTTCGATAAGCCCAAGCCAAAATCAAGGTCAGGAGGTGGAGAAACCTGAAAAGTCAGAGGAAGAAGTTGGTAAATCAGCTGAGGCTCTAGGCTCAAGCCAAGTGACCGAGAAGAAGGCAGAGGTTCACTCGGTAAAGAAGGGTGAGACCAAAGAGGCAGAGGCTCCACCAGAAAAGTCAGCTATCCCGGCTAAGGTGACAGAGGTTCAACTCAAAGAAGACAAGGTGGCTTCATCTAATGAGGAAGTATCTCCATCGAAAGTGGAAGTGACTCTACCAAAAGTGGAAGTGACTTTACCAAAAGAGGAAGTGACTCTACCAAAAGAAGAAGTGGCTCTATTAAAAAAGGAAGTAGCTCCACCAAAAGATGAGGTTGGTCCACTAAAAGAGGAAGTATCTCCACCAAAAGAGGAAGTGACTTCACCAAAAGAGGTAGTGACTTTACCAAAAGCGGTGGTGACTTTACCAAAAGAGGAAGTGACTTTACCAAAAGAGGTAGTGACTCCACCATTAGTGGAAGTCTCTCCACCAAAAGACGAACCATTTAAGGATGACGCTCAGCCCGAAATAGAACTAGCTAACCAAATCGAAGCTAAGCCCGAATCCAAGGAAGAACTCCCAGTCGATGCCAGACCAGATCTGGTTCAGACCCATTTCGTGTCGGATAAGGAGTCAGCATCACTAGTCGAATCGCAGCAGTTGGAAGAAACTGCACATCACGAAATCGAAACGGAGGCTGAGGGCAACTACGACAGCCTGATGAGCCTGCCGGCGCCACCATCCACGGAGGAGATCAAGGAGCTGGGCGACTACACGCTCATCGAGTCCAACCAGTTGGACAGCCTGCCACCGCCGCCGCCGCCACCACCACCGCTCCTGGAGGCCACCGCCTGCTCCCCTCCTGCAAATGGCAAGCAACCAATGGGAATTGTCAGCAATGGGAACGGGATGGGCAAGGTGGTCACCGTGGTGGTGACCGGCGGGGAAGAGCCCACCACCCTGACACCACCCGCCTCGCCGCCCGCCTCCCCGCCGCCCTCGCAGACATCGACGCAGTTCGGCAGCGGCAGCAATGGGCTAACCAACGGCATGCATGCCCACACCCATACCCTTCCCATCGTGGACGTGAATGGCAGTTAAGAGATTGGGTGAGATTAAGAGTAAGAAGGTAAGAAGGATTACGGAGCGGTGCAGTGCGTCTGCCGCGTTTTTTTTCATCGGATCTCATAGAGATTCCCGCGAGAGACGGAGCCGACTAGCTTGTAAGGATTACTAGGGTAACCCCGAAATCCCAGATAAAACAAAAAAAACTGTGGCAAAACCGCGTTCTCAACCAAAACTTAAATTTAAATATACACTAAATAGAGAGAAACTTTTTCCACTTACTGTTTGTTGATTTACGAATATAACGAATAATAACAATTAAATGCGATTAATATAAATAAATCATAATTAATTGTTTGTCTTTTTGCGGCTGGCAGCCTCTCCAACCCCCCTCCCGCCACCCCACCTACCATCCACCATTTACCACCCAATCGCTCCACTTCTCTCTCCATTTTGGGGGGGTTGCGGCTATCGAGTATTTCAATGTCTATAACTACAATAAAGCGAAACAAAAACAGAACTAAAAAAAAGTCAAATCAAATACAAATACAAATACGATAGAATCTGCATACGAACATACATATATAACTAATGAAATGCGATATACATAGGCAAACGAAACGGATCGAGGTTCGCATTAAATATAAAAAAGTAACTACCGATATGTAACGATGCATAATTTATTAGGCTAATTATTTACACACACAACAACAGCGCCAAAAATGGTAATTTCATACCAGCAGCAACCGCAGAAAGGGCATAATTGTAGTACATTTATTTGGGTTCGATTGGCAACTTCATGGGCAGCCAATAACATCAAAGTGTGTCCTGTGTCCGGATCCCCATTGAGGTTGAGTGTATAGAGTTTTAATTAGCAGAAAGGAAGTCACAGTTGGTTTCAAAAGTATCAATTGCCTTTAAAAAGGGGTTTTCTTTAAGGGAATTTCGATGAAATCAAATTAATTTTAAATAACAATTTTGAAATTTGAAAGGCATAACACCATGTGCAAAGCCTTTTAACTTTTCTAAAACAAAACTTAGTAGAAATCTGCACACCTTAAGTACACCAATTTACGTACTAGTTTCCCACATTTTAATTTTCAAATTCCCAGGGCAAGAGGATAATTAGAAAGGCAGTTAGCAACCCAAATCAAATTCCGGACACAGAACACACCCAAATATCGTCGATATTTCGATATTCGTGTTTCGCAAATTACACAATTCACTTGACAAAATCAAATGTGCCGAACTTTTGTAGCAAGCCAACACAATTTACAAAGAGAAACGAACAATTTATACAATGCCAATATGGTGATTACTGCAGAATTATGTAACCTTTTAAACAATAAAGCAAAAATAGTTATAGTCCTAGTCGATATATATATATATATATATGTGTATGTATATTTTTTTCGTGTGTGTGTAAGGAGAAATTAGACGAAAAGAGGACTTCAACTCCAAGCAAATGAGAACTTAATAACTAACGATAGACTTAAGCAAATTGGCAACCTAGATGAATGCAGAACGTGGACATTTCCGGTATATTTGTCCCCACATTTACGGTATATCCACATATATACAGCATTGATAAAATATAGAACAAAACTTAACTCCTTAAAAGCGAATTCTTAGAAGTTAAGCCAGACAAAGACGGAATAATAATGAAAGTGCACTGCAAGTGGCGCGTTATAGTGTAAGTAGTAGGAATTAACTATGCCCCGGATATAGTGAAGGGGTCGTTTATAGGTGGAACATAATCCCTGGCTAACGATTAACCACTTTTGTTGTTTACGTTTGTTCAAATTGTTTTATTGACAATTAACCCCGATGGGCGAGCGAGAATGCCAATGAGAAAATATTATGAATATTATAAATGAATAACCAAAAAAGAAAAACAAACAAAAAAAAAAACACTACTCGTAAATCAAATATAAAAGTTAGGTAATGCGTGCAGATTTTTTTTTTGTGTCGATCGAAAAGATAAGAAAAAAAAGTAAATGTGATTGTTAATTAACCTTAAGTTATAATTAAAACCTAACTTAAACTGATATGTGTGTGTGTGTGTGCGTTTAAGAAATAAAGCATGCCAAACGAAACGAACCGAATTGAAAGCAAACGAAACGAATGGCAATGGAACGCTCAAAAGTAAAAAGGCAAGCGATAACCAATTACCGATTACCGATTATTGATTAACGATAGCTGGCAACTAGGCGAGTGCATGCTAACCCGAAATAAATGAAATTCAATATTAAGAACGATTGCAACCGAAACCAAATGAGAAATACACACGAAAAGCAAAGTCACTCGAATATGCATTTTCCATTGGGGCGGGGCATTTTGCCAATTGGCATTTTGGAATTTTTAATTTTAGTACGTTTCAGACTCCGCCAGACTCCATCGATTTGCGGGCTGCCATAAAATCGAACCGACCAGAGCCACTCAGGCGATTCGGTTCGGTTAAAGACCCATAAAGACCTACACCCTCACCAACCATGTGGGCGCAAGGATCCCAAACTACTACGACTATGACTGCGATGTGTGCAAAGGACGAGCTGCGAATGGGAGCGCAAGGAGCAATGGAGCGGAATCCTGGAGCCAGGGAGCCAAAGTCGGAGGGTCCAAGGGGAAAAGAGGGGAAATTGCAGCCAGCACTTGGCTGGACGTTTTGAATTTCATCTGAGGCAAATGGCTACAATCTCCTACACCCGGCATGAGCATGGAATGCTACCCTGCAGATGTTTGGCCAATGGCAGGGTATCTATGACACGCCGATGGCCACGACTAGATACCACATATTTGGGCTTTGCTTGCGTATTAATCTACTATGATCAGTTATTTCTATAAAACTCAAACTTCAAACTATACTTTGCAATATATACAACGTTATAGTCAATAGATGATGCAGATTTTATTCTTGATTATCCATCTAATAAGAATATTTTTTTACATTCAAAAAAGGTAAGTTGGTCTGACCCAATCTACGGGCCTATCATTTTATCTTAAAAGCTCTAAAATCCCATTAAAAGTATTTCAGCTTTAGAAAGTTTATAGAAATTTAATTATTTTGTCTAAAACATATTTTCAGAAAGTTGAAGAAATATAAGTGTTTGTAAGAAAAGGTCTTAGTCATTTGACTAAGTAAAAATATATTTTGGAATGGCATACCTTTCTCAACTCAGTTCATTAAATACTTGAACCTGCCATAAAAAAAATGAGTATAATATTTTTTAAAAATGTTTGAGGAGGTTACATCATTAAAATAGATATACACATAGTTAATATGGCTCTTGAAAGACAGACTAAATTATTAAATGATTAGGGTTACTTCCAGGATATCCGCTAGTCGATTCTTAAGGGCCGATTCCGCCCAGGGCTTCGCTTCCACTTAATTGCGGGGCAGCTCATGTTGTCTGCTCGTTCCGTTCGGGCTTTAACTTTTTTTCACTAATTTTAAATGGCGCTTCCGTTGAGCTAGGGGATTCTGAGTGGAGGGATGTGGAGTGGTGGGATGTGGAGTGGAGGGATGTGGAGGGGAGGGATGTGGATTGGAGGGATGTGGAGTGGCAAATGGATGGAGGACCGCCTGGTGGGGCAGCTGCCAGTTGGGCTGGCGGTGGCTCTTGTTGTCAAGTGCTGTCCTCCTGTGTGTGCTCGAAAGTTGAGTCGACTTGAAATTTTAATGAAATGCGCTGCTGCTGCCGGGCTCCATCTACGTCTATGTCTATGGCTCCGGGTATTCGGGTGCCCCGGGCTACCAGCTCCCAGTTACTAGCTCCCCCCAGCTACCGTCTGCATTTCAAATTATTTTTAATTGTCATTTCTGCGGCATCGCCGGCAGTGGCGTCTCATTTTCGGGCCTGTCAAAGGCATAAGGCCTGGCTTTTGCCTTCGTGGCCATTGGCGCATTTGTGGCAATCAAAATATTTATGCCATGGACAGTTGATTAACCGCAAACAGGCAAAACGGGACTGCTGGTCGTGTCCTCGTTCATAATTAAAATCAAATTAACCCACACACAAAAGGGGGAGCTTCACGTTTTGTGGTTCATTCGGGTACAAAAAAGGGTTTTGGGTGGTGCTATTGCCATAATTTCACATTTCGTTTGGCATTATGCAATTCGGTCTATCCCTAAATTCACCATTGTGTTTCCGTTTCCGTTCCATTGCCACACCGTTCCCGGACAACCCCTCCCTCCCCTCCACCAAATTGAACCTTCAATCAGTGCAATCGACGGAGTGGATACAATTTATTCTAGCCGCAGGTCGCGCCCAAAATTAAATTGACATTTTGCCGGGGTAGAAACCGAAGTCATTTATCCCCCATCTCCCCCCCGCTGACGTCATTACCCCTCCCCGAAGGGCTGAAAAACGAGGGGGGGGTTTGGGGTGGAAACAATCAGGAGGGCCAATGCAATTTAAGCGAGGACACAGGTCATTAATCAAACAACTGCACAACTGACAAATAGGTTGGAGGCTACAAAAAAGGAAATTAAATTATACGAATATCGAATTTTGGTTACCCATATGCAAAAAGGAATGAAATTGAAGGATGTGTGCGAAACAGAATCAAATGAACCCAAGAAATTACAAATTTGAAAGACAAAAGAAATCAATAAAGAAAATTAAGAGTTAATACTGGTAAATATAAATGCAATAGAATAAGTCATAGTGTTTATCGAAGGAACAAAAAAATGGAATAAATAAAATATGCAATAAACGGTGTTAAAATGTAATTAAATTATTTAAGAAACATGGAAAACAAAAAATGAATGCGATAAAGGTTTGCAATAAGAAAGAAACTGAAATAACTTAATTATACAAGACATTCTAAGTTTGGAGTTAAATAAAACTCAAACAAACTGCAAACAGTTTTTAAAATACAGAAGGAACTTAATGACTTTACTTATTTGTTACTTTACAATTGTAAAGCAATTTAGTAATTAAGCAGATTGCATACACCACTCTTTTTTCAGTCTACTGAGCCACTACTGACACAGGGAAAAAAGTACATACGCTTCAATTGATGAAATTAGTGCGACAGATTGATTTTTGGCACATTCACTGATTGATCGACTGAGTGATTGATTGATGGGCCGGATGGCTGCAACAATTTTTGTTCGATTTATGGGCCACTGCCCCATTGCAAAGCTTTATGGCCATAGAGCATAATTGAATTTAATTTGTTACAACCGAAAAAGCGGCAGAACAATCAACGTATGTATGTACATATGTATGTATCTATTATGCCCCATTGATTCGACAATCTGTGTAAAGTCTTGCCTAATGGATTTTGGGGGAATTAACTTTGCCGAGTCTCATCTCGAATTATACGCTTCGATATGTTAAGCCATCGATTCAATTAATTTTTATTAAAGGCCTGCCAAATAATTGCCTTAAGAGCACTGCACCGAATGTTGGAGTAGCAGCATAGGATACCAAAAATAAATCAAAATAGGTCGCCGATGCGTGGCCAGAAATTTAATTGATTCGAACAATTCAAACGATTTGCACATTAAAAACACCGCTCTCGGCCGTTTCGGCCATGGTCAAATCAAATTGAAATGCCAATTGAATGGCCGTTCTGTGGACCAGGTTCCACTGCCCGACTTCCCCGTTTCCCCCTTTTCCACCCGCAAACTCCCGGCATGAATTTAATTTTGATTTTTATTTGGATTTTTATTTGGTTTTAAAACGACGAACGATTTAATTGAATTGCCCACGGTCCACTCACCGAAAGTCCTGGATAATATGCAAAGTGGGAGGAGCTGTGCTAATTTCATCGCCGGCACACGTTCCCTCCGGCCAAAAATCAAATTGGCAGGAAGGAAAAGGGCAAGGGGGATGAAGAACCGGAAACGGAAACGGTGGGGGTCAAGGGTCAAGCTGGGAGCCTTGCCTTTTTCATGTAGCCGCAAATTGAACACGCCGGATGCGGACTATTCCAGTACGTATATAAAGTGCAGCATATACGAGTATATATGGCATTTTCGGGCCATAACCGAACTTTAAGTGCCATTCCTAAAGACATCGGTAGATTGAAATGCCAAGTGTCCACTTCCGTCAAATGAAACTCTCAATTTCCACTCATTCTTCTCTGATTTGCCTAATTAAAATGGCTCGTTCGAGTGGAAACTTGAGAACACATCCTCTGTGTCCAGTAAACATATGCAAATGCGCATAATTGTGACAATTGTCTATTTGTTCTGTCCAATGAGGTGTAAGAATGTGGTAAATTGAATACTTAAGCCAGAATAGAAAAACATTGTGGTAACAATAACTGGAAATTTAAATAGAGACAAGTTGAGCTCTCCACTTGAGTGAAAACCTCACAACAGGCAAATGTAACAGATATATTTATATTTCATGAGCGAGTACTTAAATCTCTTAAAGTTAATTAAGCAATGTCATAAACAAACCCTTCAAAAATGAGTATGCAAAATTCTCGAACTTAAATTAGCAAGTAAAATAATACTTTAAAGTTTTTGGTTTAAGGTTTTACTTTAAAGAAGACAAGCTATAATAATTACTGGTTATATGCAACAATATTAAACCAAAACACAATTTAATGGGATGAATACAATAATTAACAACCTCAATTTGTGGAAATTTAAGAAAATTCAATTAAATGAAGGTAAAAAAGGATATAATTATTAGAAAAATATTTCAAATAAATTTTAAAACACTTTGTTTTAAGAAGCAAATTTACAAAGTTATTTACATATGAGTATCTGAAGAAAGCGGAGCTAAGTAATTAATCAAATACCTTCAAGTCCGAGGAGCATGTGATGTGCCAGGACAAAAATCCCACATATTACTTAACAACTTGAGGGACAGGAACCAGGCAGCAGCTGCTCCTCTTCGATTCACAAAAAAGGAAGTTGAAAATAAGGGAGAGTGCGTTGCGTTGCGTTGCGTATGTACTTTGTCCTTTGTCATTTATCATTTGCCATGGCACGGCAACTGCGAATCCTTTTTGCTTCTAGTCCTCGTCCTCGTCCTTGTTTGTGGATGTGGATGCGGGTCAACGGAACGGGCGCAGTGTCACTGCACCGGCCACGCCCCCAGCTGCACATTCAAGCCAAAGCCCACATGTCCACCGACTCCGGCACTTCACACCCCCCACCCCATATGCACCCTCTGTATATTCCGTATACACACCATATTCCTCCCACCAATCCGCTCAAACAACAAGCTATATTACCCTGTTCACACAGCCCCTTCTCTTGTTGTATAATCGAAACCTTCTGTCATTTTCTTGTCGCTGTTTGTTTGCCTCTTGTTTTTCCTTTTTTCCACATTTTTTT